ATTTTTGTAAATTCAAAATATATATACGTTAAATTAATAATGAATTTGATAAAATTAATAAAATTCTAAGTTATTTTAATAACATTTTGATAAAATATATTAGTTGAATTAAATTAGAAAAATAAAAAAACCAAACAATTTTTATTTCAACAAATATCTCATCTTAATATCAATAAGCATTTTATTGACTTAATATTAACAATGATATTATTATTAATTAGATAGAGCTGCCTCCACGTGGTGTCCTCTGCAGGGTTACGCTAAATGGTTTTAAATTTTTTTAGGGGAATTTACGTAAGTGTAATACGGTAGCAAAATGTCTTTAGGGGAATTTACAAAATTTTAGGGGAGTTTACATTTGCCCGCGACGGCAGCGTTGGTGGTGGCGGTGATCCACTGCGTTGGAGAAAATGCGAGTCCGACAGCAAAATATTTGACACTGTTCAATTCTCGAATTGTATAAAAGTTAAGCGTATAATATACTGTCGCGGCGATAATCCTCAAAGTCCGTCTGAGCCAAGTATTATTGCAGGTGCAGACATAATATAATGAAGTTATTGCAGTAAAGCAGACGTCAACGCTTTTCAATATATTATGTAGATAGTTAGTAGGCATATCGGGTTTCGTGATAGATTTTTTTCTCCAAGTCCTATACCAAATAATTTTTACAGTACATATACCTTATAATCAGCCCCGGATTAAGGTTGGATTGGGCCCCAGGACACCATACACTTAGTGGGCCCCCTTTCAACTTTACCTTCAAAAAATTTTAACACTACATTTTAAAGACTGTATACTCATATTATTATTAATTCTTGTACAAAAAAAAAAATAATGTTTTGTAATAATTTATTATACATACATTAAAATATTATATACATAATATAGAAAACACTGTTTTGTTTTAGTTAAAAAGAATAATAGCTTAAATTTTTTTCCTTGCTTTTTCTTTAGCGAATTTTTGAATCGTTTCATTAAAATCAATCAATTTCAAAATATCATTTTCAGAGTACAATACCATTAAAGATGTTAAATTTTCCTGAGTCTGGCTTGTTCTATATTTATTTTTTATTCTTGTTAATTTGGAAAATGCTCTTTCGGCTGAACAATTGGCCACTGGGATAGTTAAGTATAACCTAAGAGCAATTAAAATATTTGGGAATACTTCCTGCAATGATTTTTCGTAGAACCATTTTAATAAACTAAATGCATCACTTTCATCAAATGTTACTTTACTTAAATGTAAAAATGTTTGAAATTGAATAATTTCATTTTCAAGTGAAGAGTCAACATCATTTTTATATGTAGAAATACAATTCTTAATACTCTTTTGGACTTCTTAAAATTCTATTTTTAGAGTTAGATTAATTATATTGCCTCCATATTTAGATAATAAAAACATGGACTGGACAATAAAACGTCTTATCATATATAAATTATATGGGTACCTTATGCGAATAGATCAAAAATGCCTAATATCAATTATTACCATATATACGTTATCAATTATTAGAATATAATTTTAATATTTATTATCATTTAGTAATTTTTCGTGATATAAAATTAAGAACAAAAAAAAGTATAAAAATTCTTTATAACTATTTTAAATGTATTAAAAACATATATTTTACAAATAAAGATGGGCCCTCAAAATCAATGGGCCCCGGGACCGTGCCCCCCTTGGCCCCCCCTTAATCCGGGCTTGCTTATAATGAGTATAGAAAAAAGACGTGTTCGTGTGACGGTGTGACTGCTGTTAATTGTAAATCAATAAAATTACAATAAAACAAAATCTGTACAGTTAACTTGTAATAAAAATAAAAATCGGCCTTGTTTTTGAGCTTTATAGGCATCAGTGACGTTACGATTTTATGCCACTATGATGTACTTGTAGAAGCTTTAAACTCCAAGTGCACGATGCCCTAGGTTACCTCTTGCTGTAATTTTGCTAATTCGCTACACTTTTATGAGTTGTGCCTTGTTTAATAATATGTATTTTAAATTTTAGATTTTTATTTGAACGATTTTTTTTATTGTTTTTACTGTAATAATTACATAACCATTGAACTAAAATTATCTCGTAATGTGACTTGTGATTCTCTTTATATTTAATATATAATACATTGCAATAATTACTTAATTATAAATTGAACCATTAAACTTGTTTAATACGATTGTTAGCACTGTTAGCAGGAAACGGAAAGAAAGTAATTTTGGATTCAGTATTCCACAAAACATGAACTATTGAGAATTAATATTGAATATTGAGATAAAAAAACATTTCTAAACAACTAAACATTTGCAGTGAACGATAAAACTATGATTAATAAATTAAATAGATAGGCGGGCGGTAGTCGGTAATTGGGTTACTTTTTATATACTTGAAAAAAATAATAATATTTGTAATTTGTTTACCTTTTACTACCCGGAGATTAGGCCACAAATGGCACAAATTAAATCCGTGTTTTTAAAGTGAAACCGGAGATTGGACCATAACTGTATAATACAGGAATATATGAGTATAATATAACGTTTATAAACTACAGTAGAATCTTTTTAAGAAGTTCTCGCATAATACGTTTCCTGCGTAATACACTCATTTTTACGAGTCCCTTGATTTTGATAGCGGTTAACGTGTTAATGACACCGGATAATACGTTTCGTATTCTCGGATAAGACGCTATATGTCAATGATATTATGCAATATAAAATTAATTATCACAATAACGTACAATACCTATGATTATTGATTCAATAAGGCGTCGCGACTTAGAATACCCTATAATGTGTACATACCATAGGATACGGATGAACTTTTAACAAACACTACTAATCACTCGTTATCTTCCCGCGACAAATACACTGGATCATGTACACGAACTAAGGAGATTAATTGCATCTTCTGACAATGCAGGTGAAACACTACAAAATCTTGATCAAGTTGAAAACTTCCTCTACTCAAAAAATATTAAAAATGCAAAACAAACAAAAATTTTATGTACATTCAATTTTTATTTGTCAATTTTCTGATTTTCCCGCGTAATACGATGTCTCGTTTAATATATGTTTTTTTACCTGGTCCCTTGGAAAGCGTCTTAAACGAATTCTACTATTATATTTTTCCAAAACGTAAAAATACAACTTCTTTCAAATAATAAGACATAGATTTTACAAATTCAAATCTCATTTTTTTTCCTTCTTCGTATTTTTTAATTTCATTGAAAATATAATTTTTTCGAGTTCGTTTTCTGGCTTTTACTGTTCTTACGCTTTTATTTTGAACATAAGCTTCCGATTAAACGTTAATAAAACGTTTAAAAAATTATAAATATTTGAATGTGATATAAAAAATTATTTTTAAAATGTGAATGAAAAGCTTTTATGGCATTTGTAGTTTGATCTATAGATTCAGACCGTAACGCCCATATATGCAGATGGAAAACAGATATAGGTGTCAAAAATATAATCTGAAAATTTTGTTAATTAACTGAATTGAACTGTAACACTAAACGTGGATACTATAGTCAACAATCGACTAAACGATCATGTTTTATAATGTTTGTAAATTACGCTTTTGGCTATTTTTATCCATTTTATTTAATGACGGCCTCTACTATTTCTATGATTAATTAGTCACGTAAAACGATGCATCATATCATAGGCTCATCCATATTTTTTTTGACAGACACAGATCGGTATAATGGAAATAAAAATAGCATCCCACGCGTTACAAATTCCACCCTGTAAAGCAGCAGTTGCCAAGCGCCACGAGTTGTTTTCGAGCTTTACGTATATCGTAAGTTTTTTTTTTTTTAGCACAAATACTGATGAGCGATGGTTTTATCTTTATGTACTGTTTATAGAACGAAAATACTATACTCTAGCAGGCACAATTCCAACGATCAATAATACATTGTGCGTATTTGCGCCTGACCTTCGCCGTATTATTTCTTATTTTATGGACTTCTTTCGAGGAACTAAACATCATTTTTCATTTATTCCATACACATCGTAGGTTTTTTCTTAATGAGTTTAATGCCTCAACATTATTGTACAATGTGAGACGTGAGTTTTGTTATGACAGTGTACTGAAGTATTAGGTACCTATACGAGAATATATAACTGCCAATAAGTATAAACACTAATCATTTAAATGTTCAATTGTGCAATATCCCATTATGATGAGTATTTATTGTTGGTCTATGCAAAATGTTAAAAAATATGTCGATACTATGCAAGGCTTTTAAAAAATAGATTATACTATAAATTATAGAGTATTGAGTTATAAAATAATTTGTAGTAATTATCAATACATTCAGTGTCATAAAGTATTCAAACACTTGTTAAATATATTTATATTAGTTACTGAAATTATGTTTTAAATAATTTTCACAAGTATTTGATTCCAAATATTTTAAAAATATAAAAGCTATTAGGCTTATTTGTATACATTAATAAAGTTTGATACCCAGAAGTTCATTAGTACATATTTTATCCAGTAATAAAATATAAACTAAAACTAATCTGGAAATAAAATAGTATGAAGAATTTAAAATACTGTGTCTAAAAACCTTATGTATTTAGAAAGTCAGTTACAAACAGACAAAGATACATAAAAAATCCTTTTTGATGAATAATAATCACTATGCTATTTTACATTGCTTTGTTTTAAAGTAAATGATGTTCTTCATTATTGAAACATTAATGAGTTACAGATTTTTTGATTGATATTGTATATCCTTATAGTATGATTGTATTGTATCATTTTTACTTTTCAATGAATATTGAAGTATATAATATATTTATGTATATAAAATTAATTAATTAATTTTATTTATTTATTTAAAAAAAAAAATAATGTAATAATTAGAAGTTTATTTTATTTTCAAATTATTAGCACATAGTTAAATAAAATATGTGATAGATAAAGAAAATCTTTATAATTATACCACAGAAAATGGTATACAATTTTTCAATTAATAATTAATGATTAAAAATAGTGATGAGTAGAATATTTTTAATTAAGTACAAATAAATAGAAAACTTAGACAAAATATGGAGGCTTTCGAACAATAATTCCATATTCGTTGAGTGCTGGTGCTAAATCTTCCATGGTTAATGTGAATTTACGGTCTTTAGGAACTTTTCCAGATTTAGTTGGCAAGGTAGCCAAACGCACTTTACAATGTTGCAATGCATCGTTGGCAATATCAGCAATAAATTTCTGAGAAGCAATTGATATCAAGCGAACTCTGAAAAAAATAAATAAATGCATATAAACATTAATAATTGAAAATGTATAACTGCATTAACTATTGTTAATTATTAACTTTGTATAAATTATGAGCAATATTAATTTAACTATAGCTTGGTTTTATATTCAGTGATCTACCTACTGATCTAGTTGGTTTTATCTGTTATAATTTTAACAGATAATAAGTATTATTATTTATTATATATTATTATATAATATTTGAAAAAAATTAAAAAAATTATCATTAATTGTTAAACTGACAGTATATTCACTTTAAATTAAAATTTTTGGTTATTTTATTGCAATTTAAAAATTAAAAATTCTATATACTTGAAATCTTCATTAAAATAATATTTATAAGTTCATTATTAAAATAATTTATTACAAAGAAGCAAAAAAAATTGTTTTACATCTATATTGAACTCAAAATAGAATCAGTGTTAGATAATAGTAAAATATTAGCTACTAAATAATTTTTAAAGTTTTGGTTGGAATAAATAAATGAAAAAATCAAACTGAAATACTTACATAATAAAATAAAAATGTTGTTCCAAAATTAATTAAACTTTTATTCACATAGTAATAATAATTTCCTACCACAACAACCAAAAGTTTAAGTTTAACTAGCATGCCTTTGATTAAAAAACAAATTTATTGCGATAAAAGGTGTGTTTTCTCGCTGGATTGAGTATATTTATTTATATTTTTATTATATGCTAACAATCATCAACTATATAATATATTGCTTCAATAATATTACATAGTTGGTATATAAAAATATTACAAAGATTTAAAAATCTCAAGTCATTAATTAAATTTACACATGTTTAATTAATTTGTTCACAAAAATTTAATTTCTTGACAACTAACAATATTAAAATTGATTAAACTACAGAGCAATTCAATTTTTTTTTTTTAAAGCACGGTAGATAGAGTGAAAAACTTACATACGTGATGAATAATGCTAGTGCTTAAATTTGATGACTAAAGATTACCAACATCAAATTTGAAATGGTTAGTTAAAAAGATCTAGAAGTCCATGAAGGCATTTAGAATACAGGTAGGTAGTTCATTTCACTTATATAAATTATACCTATACAGTTTCTGACTACCAATATAATAATAGATACCTACTACCTATTTAAATTTAGTATGCTTATCATTCATTGATATTCAATGAATATTAATATTTTAGCATATTTATTGCATACTATTATCCATACTGTAAGGCTAACAATATTGTTTAGATCAGTGATTTTTAACCTTTTTGAGGTCAGGACCCCCATGTCACTCATATGATATTTTTATTTTTAACTATACAGACTTGCTCTTTTATGTATAACCAAGTTAGCAATATTATTTATGTTTTACTATTTATTGGTAACTCCAGGGTTGAGAATTGCTGGTTTGGACTACTGGTATATACATGTAATGAATTTCTTATAAGATTTATTGATGTAACAAATGATAAGCAATATAAAGGTATAAGTAAGATAAGCGTTCTATAGGTATGGCCCCACTAAACGTGATTTTGTGACGTGAGCGATAATGTCCAGTCCAGCGATTTTTACAATTTTATGGGGACCTAAAGCAATTAATCGCAAAAAAAAACAAACTATTTATTGTAAAACAGAAAACACGAAACATTCTCAGTGCGGCCTTGTCATAGTTATTCTATAGTTTCAATAAAATCATAAAATCACAAAATGGGGCCGTATCTTAAGGTTAATATCAATGTTCCATGTACTCATGAACTTACATTCTAGGGTCGTTAGTTTCGAATCCAGCTTCTGAGCATATAGATGACGTAATAGAATCAGGTATCTGTAAATAAAATAAAATTAATATTTAAAACAGTTATTAATAGCAATTTTTTAGGTAATGTTAAATTCTTACAGTGGGACTGTAGTCTTGGAGTTGAACAATTACATCAGATATAGACAACGTTTCTTCAGCTATCGGCATCTTACATATCATGTTTCGTCAACAAATTAATAATGTAAATTTAATGTCTATCGATTTTTGCCGATAAAGATACAAATCAATAAATTGAATAAATCAATAATCATTAATCACACACTCCTATTGAACTCGGAAATACCAAAGCAAAATAATTGACACTATGGGGCTGATACAGTTTTCCCAATTTTGATAACAGTGAGATATCACCAAATTAAATTTAGAGAAATCAGTTACACCAACTTTGGAACAATAATTTTTCCACATCAAAATAATAATAAAAAAAGTTTATTTTTGCAAAGCTGACATTGCCAACATAATATCACAAAAATCCTTATTTAAAATAGCTAAAAACCTAACTACCGCTGCTTATGAATTATAACTACTGTTTATCAATACTAACTTAAATGCAAATTAAAAACATGTTTTGTTTTTTTATGCATAAATGAATACAATTATTGTATAAGTTGCATACTAAAAGGCATTAGTATTAGCAGTGACATTATTGTGAGGGCAAAGGTATAATGCAAATTGTTTTTAGACTTGCGTAATTAAAATTTTTTACGAAATTTATAATCACAATTTTATTTGTCTACAATCGTTAAAAATTTGAATTTTTATATAAAATTTTAATATTTCTAACACTCAAAATCTACTATAAAAATTCTCACGAGTTATTTTTATTACTATATTATATTAAAGTATTAAACCAAGTGTTTTGTGCTACCTACATACAATTTTTTATAATTGATTGAAGTATAAATTTTTACATTAGATACTCAAATGTAAAATAATTTATATTTATCAATAATTTATTTTAAATGATTTTTATTGTTTTCTGATTATTTTAAAAACTTACCACAGCTGGCTTTAACTCTTAATGTCAAATGTAAGATTTATTTTGACAACTCTCTGTTTGATTTAATTTTAACATCTTATAAGCGCCCTTCTGATTTTGAAGCTTGTGCCATAGCACGCATTGATTGTGTTTAAAGCCAGGCCTAAAAATTAAAAGCTATTAACTTTCCACTATAACTTAAATTAACATTTTTTATCAATAATTAAATATAAAAAATATTTTGATTAAACAAAGCTATTATTAAATATTTTTGTTTAGACTTTGGATTTAAATCCATTCCTAATGGCTAACATAGAAGCAAAAGTGAAAATTCTTTTAGAAAATGTAGTTGTATTTCACTATAAATACATGTAATCAATAATCATAAATTTATAAGTTTAATTTGCTAATATCTTTATAAGTTCATGCATACATAATGTACTTATTAATATTATTTTTATATAGACTGTAAAATCATTGAAAGTTAATAAGAAATAAAGAAACTAATCAAAGTAAGGATCAAAATTAAGGAAATAAATAATAATAATATTTACCTACTTAACCCTTTAAAAATAAAACAATGCATAGATGAAAAAAAAGACCGATACTTAATTGGGAACTAGTTCTTGACAAATTAATTAGAACACAAAATATACAGACAAAAGATAAGGTTGATGATTGAAAATCAACAGTGTTAAAACATTAAGGTTTATTGGATAGGTTTTAAAATAAAACAAACAATAATTGTTTACAAATATTTTTGGCAACCATTAGTTAATGTACAAATTTTTACAAGGTAAAAAAAATAACAGTTATGCTCTGGTGTTTTTAAATTTTATATGTAACTTATCACAAATAAAATATATTTTGTTTAAAAATAACAATGAAATTCAAATATCAAGATGTCTGAATTGGCGTCTCAACTTTTCGTGTTTGTTCCTTTTTTCTTTATGGTTTTTCCATGGTTTGGATGTATTTTGTTGAGCTTGACTATAGGATAAAGAAAATTCATTAAATAAACAAATATAATAAGTTACTTACAACATACTTATTAATACTGCCCATTATATCAATCTTTTTCATGCCTTTACTGTGTGCGCCCATGGTTGTTTTTTTAAAAAACATATTGTCTAAATCCGAACCAGATGCAACATTTGGCTGAAAAACAGTGTTTGAGTGTGATTAATAATATATTTTTTTAAATATATATTTTTTTTAAATGAACCTTGAGAAGAATGTTTTCAAATGGTGTAAATGTTTTTGTTGCGCGATTTTCATCAGGTGGTGGGAATGAATGAAATTTTTTCTGATCAACTCCTGGTGGAGCAATACAAAACAATAATCGTCCATTAACATAATGTTTAAGTATCACGCGAGCTGCTCTAGAACCATCTGGTTGTCCGTTAGCTGTCATATATCCTCGACTACCTAAAATTGGTTAATATAAAATACACAAATGTTATATTATATATTTCACCAAAAATTAATTGGTAATTAGATTACATGCATAAGCATTGAGAAATTCATCAGCTGTGGGTGGTCGATTGGGATCTTCGCCTTCTAATGGTTTTGTCACCATAATACTAAACTGATCTTCTAGTATATGTTTTGGTATTTGCGAACAGATTATATTTACAGGTGGCCTGTGATCCCGCATCTGGTCGATGGGAAGAATACCATTTATAATAAGGTCAGCTTTTGTAAATACAAAACTAGGCATAACCAAACCAGGACAATCGCATAACATCAATTCCTTGTCAACAAAAAGTGTCTGAAAATAAATCAATAATAAATCAATATTAATACAATCTTCCTCAATCCTAGTACATCAAAACTATAGAAAGACTCGTAAAGTTATTTTATAATGTAATAAGCTAATTTCGTGAACTGTGGTAAATATAATACCTGAAAATGTTTTGTTTTTCCCGGAGTAGAAGATACTGACACTTTCTTATTAACAAGAAGCGTATTAATTGTAGAACTTTTACCGACATTTGGATAACCAACTAATCCAACAGTAACTAATTCATCTGATAAACGTTTATTATTTCCATGAATTGTTTTAAAGAGAGTGATTAATTGTTCTTTTGTTAATAGCTTTGAAGAATTTTTAAACCTAGGACATTCATCTAAACATAAAAAATTTAAACAATTTTAGTAAAATGGTTTTAACAAAAATAAAATAATTTACCATCTACATCTCCAATTACTTCTTCTTCTTCGTCGGTTTCATAATCTGAACTGTTCCACTCTTCATCTTCATCTTCTTCTTCATCATCATCTTCTTCTTCGTCTACTTTTTCATCCTAAATGAAATAACAAAAGTATACAAAACAGAAACAAACAGATCAAAAAGTAGTTTACAAACCGTTTCATTAGCATCTTCATTCCCTTCTTCAATAGTTTCTTCACTTTGCTTAGCAGAATAAAAAGCTACTGTAATAGCTCTAGAGTCAAAATATTTTGCCCAGTATTTACGTTGTTGAACAGTCAACAAGTCAGATTTGTTCAACAACAATAAATTAGTTTTATTTGTATCCACTTCTTTTGTATATTTCTCTAAGTCTTCACAATAGAATAATAATGGGTTGCGAGCATCTACAATCTGAACTAATACATCACTTCTCTCAACAACTCTCCAGAGCTGTCTCCAAAAGCCCAAGTTTTTTTCATAGGGAGTTAACACCAGGCCATGTTCTTCTTGAAGTTCGGCCAATTTACGACGCCATTCTAAGAAGTTTTGTCTTTCTTTTGATTCTAAGTCTTCGGCAGTAGTTTTGTCATCCCACTGGGGTCTATAAATTTAAGAATAAAATAAATGTAATAGGTATATTTGCTTAAAATATATATTAGATCATACCTTCGAGGAATTTTAATAAAATGTTTAAACTCCTTATGGGACTTTTCAATCTTTGACCGTTCTTCATCAGTTAAAGTACCAACCATTCGACTTTCAGGCACAAATTCAACATTTAATTTTTCAGCCTAGATACATAAGTGATAAATTACAGTAACAATAGATATATAGATATGAATATTAAATAAAATAATTTATACTTAATCATGGTTACTCACTGTAAATTCAGTTCCAGCCAATTCAGCTGTGGACAAAAACTCTTCAAAAGAACTCTGTTCTGTCACAGACTGCAAATTGAGTCTTCCCCAGTCATATCCGTCAGCTAAATCAGATGTGTGAAGCTATTATAAAATATATAAAAAATTATTTCTCACGAATATCAATCAAACACAATTTTGTGATATAATAATTATTCAAATTATTTAAAATAAATAATTTGACTGCTGAACAAAAATGAATGTTGTACTTACAAATGAGTCAGCATTCAGTGTCTTTTTACCACGACCAAATCTGTCTTTGATTAACGCACGACCAAAACTATGACCGCCTCCACCTTTCTTCTTACCACCCATCGCAGAATTATCAATTGGATAAAACGATAAAAGTCTGTATTATTAAAATCTATATAGAAATAAAAAATTATAAATTAACATATTTACTATTTAATACCAATGATTTATAACCGTTGTTTAATATCTACCTATCTTAATTTTTTATTTAAAAAAATCATGTGATAGGTAAAAGCTATGAATGCATAATAATTGATTAAACTCGAATTATTTTAATATATTAATACAATAGAATAATTATAATAAAGCAGGTCCATGAACTTTCAACTTACCTAAGCATAACTAAAACAAATCAAGTAATGTAATATTAATATAGTTATAGTATATACTAATATTTTTGTTAAAATGATAATACCTTTATATGATATAGTAAAATCTTCACGTGTTGTATGTTTCTATCAAGAAATTAATTTATATTCTATGATTACAAGTCTAAGGCTGTGATTACAACACAGAATGTAACAATTGATTACAATCATATTAAAATTAAACCTTGGTTGTTACCACAGATATATCTGTGGTTGTTACCGTCCGTGCAACAAATCGAGAATGTTATCAACTATACCATTTATATACCAGGTTGAAGATTTAACCATGGTCAACGCAACTATATAAATTCGCCTTTTAGCATTTTTTATCGTTGTCGGTATTTTCCCGCGAGAAGATTATCTTAAATCGTGATACCTTTATATTTGTACTAGCACCGGTGAAACTCGCTGTAAGTGAATACCCTAGGTCGGTGAAACTCGCTGTATATGAATACCCTAGGTCGGTAAAACTCGATGTATGTGAATACCCTAGGTCGGTAAAACTCGCTGTATGTGAGTACCCTAGGTAGCTGAATTAGGGCTGTTCGATTATTTCGATTAATCGATTATTGCGATTATTATTTTGTTTCATCGATTATTTTACAGTTTTTATAAAATGCGATTAATCGCC